CCCTCTCATTCCCCTCTGTTTCTCTCATTTCGTGCGCCTTCTCTCGAATTCCCCTCTCTTTCTCTTCTCCTGTGCTCCTTCTACTTCATTCCCCTTTGCTCCTCTCTTCCCTTGCGCCTTCTCTATCATTCTACTCGGTCTCTCTTCTTGCGTGCGCCTTCCCTCTCAATCCCCTCTGTTTCTCTCATTCCATGCGCCTTCTCTCTCATTCCCCTCACTTTTCTCTTCTCCCGTGCTCCTTCTCCTTCATTCCCCCCTGCTCCTCTCCTCCCTTGCGCCTTCTCTCTCATTCCATGCGCCTTCTCTCTCATTCCCCTCACTTTTCTCTTCTCCCGTGCTCCTTCTCCTTCATTCCCCCCTACTCCTCTCCTCCCTTGCGCCTTCTCTCTCATTCCCCTCAGTTTCTCTTCTTGAATGCGCCTTCCCTCTCATTCCCTTGTTTCTCTCATTCCGTGCGCATTCTCTCCCATTCTCCTCTCTTTCTCTTCTCCCGTGCTCCTTCTCCTTAATTCCACTCTGCTCCTCTCCTCCCTTGCGCCTTCTCTCTCATTCCCCTCTATTTCTCTTCTTCGGTGCACCTTCTTCCTCAATCCCCTCTGTTTCTCTCATCCCTTGCGCCCTCTCTCTCTCCCGTACGTTCGTCCGCTCGGTGCTCAGCCTGCTCCTCCCATCTACTACCCGTATTTTACATCACAAAAACCCTATGCCAAGTTTGGACGAATTTTGATTGGGGTTGTCTTCGTTTCAAAAAATCCGGACCCAAATTCGACCGACGGTTGGAATCATTTGATAGGAGCTCCGACACACATCTCGCGACAAGGTTTGGCTCGGGTCAAGTTTCAAATTGGCACGCGAGCTTTTCCGGATGACGTTCGGGCGCAATCCGTTTTGGTGCAATTTCGGTACCAGATTTTTTAAAACTGGATTTTGGTTTTGTTTTATTTTGGGTATTGAGGATTTCAGAATTACATTCAATTTTCCGGGTTACAACAACCATTATTCAGCATTCTAACAACCAGCAGTTTTAGCACCAGGTCAAATAGCCCACGCAATGCTGGGCCCTGCAATCGCCCGGTGGGCAAGAATGACATCTCCAACGTCGCCATCGTCGATGAGGAACTTGTTCGGGAAGACGAACGCACGCTGAGCCGGATCGTGTGGGATCCGCCACTCCACGACGGCAAATTGTATCATCTGTTTGACCTTGTCACACCACTCGAAGTAGTCCGGCCTGTTTTGTTCCGGCTGGGCCGGAATTTGCTTGCGACGCTTATCCTGCAGAAGGGGCCACTCGATCTGCAATGTGGTGTAGGGTTGGGTGGATGGAGTATGGGGGGGGGGGGGGGGGGGGGTACGGGTATATGGGCCAACTGAAAGCGGTGAAGACGACACACCCTACGTAACTGCAAACGCCTAAGCGACCAGGGATTTAGATGAAGTATAGGCAAGGGGTTTAGGGGATGAGGCATGGGTGTACAGACACATATCTACATCCTTACCGAAAACAGGCCCCATGCCACCATGCGGCTCTTGAACTTGGTGAACACAACCCCGCCCCTGTTGAAGGAGAGCTTGTACGCATAAGCAAACAAGGGGTTGCTGAAGGGCGTTCCGGTGGCCTTGTCAAAGTGCCAGTTGAGGGCCCACTGTTCTGCATTTTGGGAGGGAGTGTACGGGTGGGGGTGCAGAGAAATCAAGTGGCTGGGTGAGAGTCAGGGTGAGGAACACCGCATGGTTATTTGTAGCTACCATCTGGCATATGGGCAGGGGGATATGGTGTGTTCGAGTCACACATACCATCTCTGTACTCGGCCAGGAGATCCTCGTGGTTGAACCACTTCTTTGGGTGTAGCTCAGTGGGCAGGGTATCCACGAGATGGGTGTAATCGGAGAGGCCCATGCCGGCGTACGTTGCTGGCCTGAGGGTGCTGTTAATTGTTGACCTAGTTGACGACATCTGGTGGTTGAAGACACCCATGGTTGACTTGTCGTTGTGCAACCACAGCAGCTTCAGTGACTCGAGCCCTTCGGCAGACAACTGGACAGCGAACGCCTCGAACACTTCCTCTGTTGGCAGGGTAGCACTAGATTTTCTCCGGGGGGTTCAAAAATAGGAGCTGAGAGCACACTAAGTAGGCTTTGTTCTGCACAGGGGTGTGGGGTATACAACACGACATGGGGAGAGAGAAACCATGAGTTATGACTGTGGCCGCGTGACCACAGGATGGACTGTGTGAACTTTCCACGTCACACCCTCCTGCATCCGCCACGTCTACCAACAACCAGCCCCCCGTACCACGTCACACCCTCCCACCCCATGCCACATCACCCCCCACCCACCTGACACACGTTGCCTTGTCACGCGCCGCTCCCGTGTACCATTCCAAACCGCCATGTCTGCCCCAACCCTCACATTCCGCCACGTCACACCCTTTTGCATCCGCCAACAACCCGCCCTACTTGCCACGTCACACCCCCACCAAGAGCCACGTCACCCCCCACCCACCTGAAACGCCTCTTTGCGTCATGCAACGCACACATGTACCCTTTTAAACAGCCACGTCATCCCCAACACTCACCTTCCGCCACGTCACACCCACCTGCATCCGCCACGTCATCCCCAACCCTCACCTTCCGCCACGTCACACCCTCCTGCATCCGCCACGTCCACCAAACAACCCCACGTGCCACGTCACACCTTCCTGCATCCGCCACGTCACACCCTCCTGCATCCGCACGTCCACCAACAACCAGCCCCACGTTCCACGTCACACCCTCCTGCATCCGCCACGTCCACCAACAACCAGCCCCCCGTGCCATGTCACACCCTCCCACCCCATGCCACGTCACCCCCCACCCACCTGACACACGTCGCCTTGTCATGCGCCGCTCCCGTGTACCATTCCAAACCGCCATGTCTGCCCCAACCCTCACATTCCGCCACGTCACACCCTTTTGCATCCGCCAACAACCCGCCCTACTTGCCATGTCACACCCCCACCAAGAGCCACGTCACCCCCCACCCACCTGAAACACCTCGCTGCGTCATGCGCCACACACGCGTACCCTTTTAAACAGCCACGTCATCCCCAACACTCACCTTCCGCCACGTCACACCCACCTGCATCCGCCACGTCATCCCCAACCCTCACCTTCCGCCACGTCACACCCTCCTGCATCCGCCACGTCACACCCTCCTGCATCCGCCACGTCCACCAACAACCAGCCCCCCGTGCCACGTCACACCCTCCCACCCCATGCCAAGTCACCCCCCACCTACCTGAGACACGTTGTCTTGTCACGCGCCGCTCGTGTGTACCATTCCAAACCGCTATGTCTGCCCCAACTCTCACATTCCGCCACGTTACACCCTTTTGCATCCGCCAACAACCCGCCCTACTTGCCACATCACACCCCCCACCAAGAGCCACGTCACCCCCCACCCACCTGAAACGCCTCGCCCCCTCATGCGGCACTCCCTTGCACCCTTTCACACCGCCACGTCATATCTCAACCCTCACTTTTTGCCACGTCACACCCACTTGCATCCGCCACGTCCACCATCAACCCGCGCCACTTGCTACGTCACACCCACCCACCCCATGCCACATCACCCCCCACCCACCTGATACGCGTCGCCTTGTCACGCGCCGCTCCCGTGTTCCCTTCGAAACCGCCACGTCAGCCCCAACCCCGCCCTGGTTGCCACGTCAACCACAACCCGCCCCATTAGGCCCGCCACATACCGGGAATGGGTTTGTCTCCTGCAACACTAGCACTCGTGCCTTGTCCACGGCGCTCATCGGCAGCGAGGTACCAGCCATAGGCAGGGCCGGCATAGCTGGCAGGTACTCCACGACGCAGGCCGAGCTGTGCAAACATGGTGTACATCTCAGACCGCAGCGCCTGGAACTCCTCCCGTGTAACAAACTGCTCGTGCTCCGCACTTTCACCTAGGGCACCCATGAGCGGAGGAAAAGGGTGTGAAGAATCCCCCATCTGGCCAAGGGGATCAGCATCTTCTGCAGCACTCCCGTGTGCCCTCACACTATCACGCTGGCGGGAAAAGGGGAGCTCAGGGAAGGGATTGGTAAAAGTGCCTGCCTGATGCCCGCGCAATGGACCGGCAAGGGGGGAGACCGCCCTGCCCCGGACAGGAGAAGCGTGTAGCGACCGAAATGGGTACGAGGGTGAGGCGAGTGGGGTTTGCGTGACGGGGGCTGGTGGAGGGGATTCGGATTCCTCTCCTCTTGGCGTGCCGGGTGCCGTCGCAGCGACTTTGCTCGGGCCGGTGTATGGCGTGTAGAACCTTGGTGCTCCTGTGGCTAGCGGTGTAGCATTCGCTCTTCCGTCAGCCTTTGTTAGCTGCATCCGTTGCACGCTTACGGGTGGCCCAATGCCTGTAACGCGAGGGGCTGAGATGTAGAGGGAGTAGGATAAAGAAATTAGAGTCGATCGGTTTCAATACAGGGCCAGACATGCATGTATAACATCAAAGGTTTGAATCTAAATCGGGTTTAGGGTTGTACTGGTTTGAGACAAGAGGGTTTACCTTGCTTGGTAGATTCGTCGACCCTCTCCTTCCCTGCAGGGGAGAAACAATGTGAAAAAACGGTGTTATTTGGCACGGTTGACCAGATGGTTCAACAACCACGCCAGTTGTATTGGCCACAAAGCTCACCTTTCTGCTGTCCCTTCGGTTTTGGGGCAGCCTGCACCTTCTCGTTGCCACCTTTCCGCGGGGTGCTTTGGCGGACGCTGCGACGTTTACCGGTAGGTTCTTTCTTGCCGGTACCCACTGGAACCCCTTTGCCGCGGCCACCCTTTCCTCCTCCATCCCCTTTTGCTCCCTGGCTCCCTTGCTTTTTACCACCCCCTTCACTTTCGACCTTCACCTTACGCGCCTTCTGTTTGCCCGCTGCTTCGCCGCGCGCGGCGTCAACTGCCCCGCGTTTTCGGGAAGGGCGAGTCCGGCCCCCCACCTTCCCTGTACCACTCACCTATCTGCCACGCCCGCCTCGTCCCTTCACTGGCGCCACATCCTCCTCCTCCTCCTCCTCCTCCTCCTCCTCCTCCTCCTCCTCCTCCTCCTCCTCCTCTTCCTCCTGCTCCTCCTCCTCATCCTCCTCCTCCTCATCCTCCTCCTCCTCCTCCCCCTCCTCCTCCTCCTCCTCCTCTTCGTCCTCCCCGCCATCATTCTCATCTTTTTCATCCTCCCCAACATCCGCATCCTCTTCATCCTCCTCTTCCTCCGCATCCTCCTCCTCATCCTCCTCCTCCGCATCACTAGGGTGTTCATCGCCCCGTTTGTGCCTCGTCCCCGTCACTGCTTTCTTACCTCTCCTTCCGCCGGATGTTTTTCTTGCTGCGGGTCAGCCCTTCTGGCGCAATGCTTGACCGCCCGCCTTGCAACTAGCTTCCTTGGCGCCTCGCGTTGTCCCAACTTCCGCGCCTCCGGCGTCGTCAGCACTACCTGTCGTCTGCCGCCTCTTCGCCCGCGTGGTGAGGTCCCCGGGCACGGCGGTGTCATAATCGTCCTCCCCATCGCTCCTCCTCTGCCTACGCCTCCCCCGTCCACCAGAAGGAGGAGAACCACCGACCTGCCCCTCCGACTCGTGCTCCCCCACCTTGTCCATATCCAACACAGCTGCAGAAACTTCGACCACGGTCGGCTGGAGCAGCGTCAGATGGTGTTGCGATGCCGCCGCCTCGGACTCCTTGGTTGTGGCATGCTCGGCGCGGGGATCGCCTCCGTGGTTTCCCCCTGTCGCCGATCCCTCTATCTCCGCTGACGGGACTGCAAGACTCGCGCTCCCTCACCCCGGATCTTTGTTGCCGCCAGTGGTGCCCTCGTTACTCGGACCGGGCTCGGTTCCAGTAGAGGCAACATCTGCTTCTTTGCGCACTGTAGAAACACGCCTGCCCGGCGTTGGTTTAGGCCCCTTGTCTTCCGCTTTCTTGCCGGACTCCTCTTGACCGCGCTCGACCTTTTTTGGCGCCGCTTTTTTCTGCCCAATGCCACGCGCGACGGACGCATTAGTTTTTTTTAGCGCCGCCACCGCTCTCCCTATCTATTTGTTGAGACGTCCTCCTTGTCGCGCGGCGGCTGGCCTGTTCCTCCACCATTGCCTGGTTACGTGTTGCACAAGTCATGGATGTTGTAGGAAAGCAGATTAACACATAGCGCGGAAGGGTTGTGCCGGTTTCGAAGGGGTACTGCAACGGAATCCCACGATGGGATTATCGACGGTCGATCACTGTTATCTGTATCCAAAAACCGCCGCTTCATCTAAAACTGAACTAGTAGCCACTAAGCAGAGAGCTATGGCCGCGACGGAGAGGCGTGTGTCAAACAGCGAGCAGCATCAAAGTGTTGGACCAGGGAGTGACGGAAGCAGGTGGGTGGGGCACGAGGGTGGTTGGGGTGGGTTGCGAGACTAGAGAGATTACTGTAACCCTATCAGGCTATATCGGACGGTGTACGTGTAGCCACCCTAGCATAAACCCACCTACCGCTCGATCTCAGCCGTTCATTGCATGAAGTACCTCTTGGCTGGTGATTGTGTTGCGGGGGGAATCGTTTGAGATGCGTCGGCCAATCACGGTTGCCAACGCATCAATCACTACAAAGGGTACAACGGTTGCGAAACCAAAAGTGCGAAATTAGTAAAATCCCTGCAAAGTACAGTGTTGTCGTGAACGCACAGTGTTGCACATAGCAGCTAAATCAAATTCAAACATACAACAATAGATTTCATCAAACACTTAGTTGCAAATGGTTTAGTATGGGGTTGGGGTAAGTTAATCGGTGATTCTCGCGTCACACAGATGTACTGCGCACTTTTTGGCTTTGCCACATCGGTCTATCCATAGCGGACGACATCCTAACATGATGATCAATAGTAACAAACGAGAATCATTTGTGGTATGGTGATGGATTATCATCTATTCTTGCACGGACATTCAACAAGGTGCTTAGAAGGAGTGGTATGAAGCACAGGCCCTACGCACAAGCGGTGATGCGTTATCGACAGCCATGTTTAGACTGTGCGACGATGCAGCGTTCAGGCCTGCGGGTTGCGCGACATGGTGAATCCGTTAGCGTATGGTGATGGATCGTCATCCATTCTTGCACGGACATTGAAACCATTGTGTTATTGTACAACATTGTCATCCATTCTTGCATATTCATTCAGCACGGTGCGTAGAGGTACACTAAACCTCGAGAGAACACACACTCTAGGTGTTCGGTCCACGCAACAATCATACGTTAGGGCATGGAGTTTTTGGGTACTTCCCGTATCGTGCTCAAGTACGGGTTGTTCAAGAGCAGGCCTAAGGATATGACTGTTTACTAGTTATCACTGACTATTGTGTCTTGTTAAAATGTAACTGTACATTTAAATTTCCTGGTTTGTTTGAATCCTCTTGAACTCACCTACGTGATTGCACTTTCCCCCCTATATCGATTCGCGACACAACCACAGATCCAAACGGATCTCTTCCCGCTCTTCCTCATCCCCCTCGACTCTCACGCAAGACAAGTTCTCGAATCAATAGGCACGTCCTTCTCACCGTGCTCGCGACGCACACACACGACCGACCGTCTTAAGACCCACTATATTCTCCTCTGCTCACGTCGTGGTCGCTCTTGACGGGGGCGACACGCCTTGTAGGGAAGACGGCCCGTGCTGTGGGGGGTCTGTATCGTGCCTTGTCACGACCACGCGGCTCGACATCGTTAGCCTGTCATAAACATTAGCGCCAACGTCAAGGGCCGGTCGTGCAGTGATACAAGCCGCCGATCACAATGCGCGCTTTGGCGATGATCGTGTTGCTGTCACAGCCTTCTTCAAGGGTGTACTTAATGCCTTCACAAGTATCATCACAGCTAGTAGCTTCATAGGCCATTTCTCGACTCTACAACGGATCCGTAACACATGGGCTCTTTGCCAGGCGTAGTATGCGAGTTCTGCAACAGATGGTTCCCCAACGCCCAGGTTTATGGCGGCTATAAGTCACAGCGGACCCCTTGTCAAGGGCTTTCCACCGTGGCAAGGCCCTCCTTGTCTGCACCGTTCGCCGGTCTACACGCTCTGCTGTTTGTACACGACATTCTGTCAGACGCTCCTGCTGCACCCGCTTCCCCTACTGCGTCTAACTCGTCCAACACCGACGGTGTGAATGGTCCTCCTCGCGTCCCCGAAGCTGACGGGGACGCGAGGGGGCTGTGAACGTGGGGGCTCCTGAAAGTGAGCATCAACCGCCTCCCGGAACACATGCCTCTGACACGAGTGAGCATCCGGAGAGCCCTGAAGAGAGTCACGCCGCACCGCCGACATGCATCTCTGGGCAGAGCAATGCCACGCCCCTCAATCCGCTTGCGTTGAAGGTGCTGCGTGCGGCGCGTAAATGGCGGAATGGGAATGGTGGAGATCGACATCAATGGCCTGCTTCAGCTCGTGGTGGAGCCCGGCCTTGCGCCTCTTGTGATCTCAGAGATCCGGAATAGCAAGGATCTGGAGCGGTTCGAGATGGAGCGCTTGGTCGAGCTCAATCGCGGATGGTCAGTGGCGACCTTTGAGATTGACGGTCATCCGCCACAGCGCCTTCTCTTCCAGAACTTTGCGCAGGTAAGTTGAATCTGGATCCGTGCCTGTGAAATGCAGATTCCGCATCCATTTGGTGCTTGTTGAACGTTGCCTCTATTAGGCTTGTGTGAGATCTGACCCACCTTCAACGCCACTAACTAGGGTTTGGTTCTCTCCTGCTCTTGCCACTATACGCCAGGCGTTTGCCAAACTGTTTGGGCATACCAACAACGCGCCCGGCTTCAAGCTCAAGGCTCGTGTCGATGAGGACCCTGATACAGGCGAGCGTCGCTATACGACGCCAGAAACTGGTACGTGGTGGAACAATGCTCAGGTATGGAAATACCCCATTGCCACCCAAAACCAGAAGAGTGCGCATGCCTCCGTTGATGCGCTGATGTGTAGGGAGCATCTTCAGTGTGTCATGTTTGTGGGGAGTTCTTTGAAGCATGCTTAGTCCACCTGGCGACAAGTTACCTTGTTGGTGTTTGACCTTGTGCCTTTTCCCTCTTTGTCGTGCTTTGCAGGAACACTTTGGATGGTCCGAAGTCGTGGGGGGTATCATCCTATACTCGGATGTGACGCACATGAGCAACAACGGCCGGAAGAAGGCGTGGCCACTAATGATGACGCTTGCAAACATCTCCCAGGCCAAGCGATGGGGGAAAGCCGGGCACACGCTACTTGCTCTCCTTCCTATCCCCCCTTCTGCAATGTCTGCCGTGGAGAAGGTGATGCTCTTCCAGCGATGCGTCATCACCGTGCTGCAGCCGCTTCTCGATGGCATGGAAAGGTCCGTACTCTATTTCCATCTTGCTATGTCGTCACCCAATCAACGTCATAGTATGCGCAGCGTTTCTGTATGTAACAGTCCCCCTTGTCCCTCTTCGCCGATGCACAAAGACGAAATCCCTGTTCCTGTTGCCACAATACCTGTTCCTTGCAGCGGGTTCCGTCTCAGGGACCCTTTCGGTGATTGGCAAACTGTGCGGCCCCTGCTGTACGCCTGGGTGTGCGACTACCCTGAGAGCGGCAAGATCAGTTGCACACTCTCGCATGGATCGCGGATGCCGTGCAGCATCTGCTATGCTGCAAATGTGAGCAAACATGCGATTTGCGTGCCTTCAGAACCATCGCCATCCGAATGTCACATGACGGACCTCATAATCTCACCTCCCTTACCTGTTCATCCCATCCCACCCTCTGTGCTACACCAAGAGCATCTGGTTGCTGTAAAGGGACGGAACACGCCGCGCACACCTGAACAGCAGCAATGGACCGTGAATGAGGCGGCAGGGTTGACATCAAGCCAGGACGACCCATGCTGCAGAAGTTGGTGAAGGATGGGAGCTTGAAGGGATTGGAGGTGAAGGGGGCAGCGAAGGAGATTGGGAGCTGCCCTACATGCCTTGAGACAAAGTTCACCAAGTTCCCTTTCAGCAGCAGCACGGGACCAGCCAAGGTTCCACTCGCGCTTGTGCACATGGATGTGGTGGGCCCCACAAGGGCCCTTTCTCTCTCGAGCAGCCGCTACTTCTTGACCATTGTGGACGACCACACACGTGCGGTGTGGGTCTACCCTCTCAAGACTAAAGGGGAGGTGGCAGCGGCTGTTCTTAAGGAGTGGATGCCGAGAGCTCAAAGGGAGAGCGGACACAAGGTCAAGGTGATCCGCACTGACAATGGGGGAGAGTTTATTGGCGCTGATTTTGAGGCGGTGCTGAAGAAGAAGGGGATCCAGCATCAGCTCACGGTGCCCTACAACCCTCAGCAGAACGGCGTGGCTGAGCGGTTCAACCGGACCCTGCAGGAAGGTGCTCGCACTCTCCTTGGGCGTGCAGGGCTGCCGGATCCGTTTTGGGTGACAGCATTGCGGCAGGTCGCTGTTGTGAAGAACCGGGTGCTGGCGACAGTGGGGGACAAGCAATGGGTCCCCTACACCAACTGGTATGGGAGTGCACCAGCAGTCAACATGCTGAGAGCGTACGGCTGCATGGTGGTGTTTCATGTGCCTAAGGAGAAGAGGGGAAAACTGGAAGCTTCTG